CCCCTCTCCCCTCTCTCCTGCTTCTGAGGAAGGGGCAGTCGTTAATAAGGTTGTGTATGTAATAAAACATGCTGCAGCTTCAAGACGAGCTACTTTCAAGGGAGATTTGGTAACAACCTAGCCTCCTCCTGCGTTAGGACTGTGTGTGTGTCTCAACTCTGCAGCTCATTTGTACCCACCACCCCCACCCTATCCCTACCCCCATCCCCCTACCCCCACCAAAGCAATCATCAGCAGGCCTCACCGGGGACTGACTAGGACTCTGAAGTTTACCTCTGTTGCTTCTGAAACTTCATGTAAATGATTCACCAAACTTTTTAACATATAACCACACAGTTTCACATTTTGACAGAAATCTGACCCTTATTTTGACATCTGAAAAGTAAGTCAGAAGTATAAATGGAGGGAGTGTGAAGGGAAATCTCTTTCTTCCTTTTTGAAGAAAATTTAGTTTTACAGGCCCTTCCCAGCAGAATAACATAGCTGGGGAAGACGTGGCACTTGCCCCACTTACAGAAAATTATTTTGGCGATGGCGATGTTCCTATATTTTTGCTTTTGGTATCTTGATAACTTGTAAGTTTAAAAAAAAAAAAAAACAGGGCCGGCCCCGTGGCGCACTCGGGAGAGTGCGGCGCTGGGAGCGCAGCGTCGCGGGTTCGGATCCTATATAGGGATGACCGGTTAGCTCACTGGCTGAGCGCAGTGTGGGCGACACCAAGCCAAGGGTTGCGATCCCCTTACCGGTCACGAAAAAGGCAAAAAAACAGGTCTGCCTTTTTCGGTTTTGGTTTTTGCTGGTGGGTACAGGGACCGAATCCTGGATCCTCTCTCTTTTAAATGTAGTTTTGTTGTCCTGGGATTGCTTGTTTAGCTTTAAAATGTGTTTCTGCAAAGCTAGCTAAATATAATTAAGATGTAAATGTGTTTATGATTGGAAAATCCTCTGTCTTTTTCGGTTTTGGTTTTTGCTGGTGGGTACAGGGACCGAATCCTGGATCCTCTCTCTTTTAAATGTAGTTTTGTTGTCCTGGGATTGCTTGTTTAGCTTTAAAATGTGTTTCTGCAAAGCTAGCTAAATATAATTAAGATGTAAATGTGTTTATGATTGGAAAACAGTTGTAAGAAAAACTGAACCACATTCGGGGCCTCCTCATTTCTGTGATACCCACTTCAAATAGTTAACAGAATTCCTGAGCCTGGTTAAAACCCACTAGGTTTAAAGATCCTGGGTTTGGCAAACTCAGTTGATTGCCAGTGCCCTAGTATCTAATACCTGTTTTAGTGCGCCACCTACTGGTTCTACTTAATATTGCTGTCAGTGCTGTGTAATAAATTTTCTACATCATTTGTGCTTTATTTAGCATTCTTTGAAAAAGATGGCTGCCCAGAGCACTGAGCTGCCCACGGGTAACAAAGGCCACCAAGTTTAGGGACTCTAATTCTTCCAGTGCTCAAGTTACTTCTCAGTTATGGGAGACCCTTTGGAGACATTGCAGTCACTCTTTTCTGATTCTAGACCAGCACCCATCAACAAAGTCAATACCAATGACAAAAGTGGTCTATTCAAAAATATGGATGGGATATAGAAATTTTTTTGCAAATAAAAAACAAAAGCCTGATTTATGTTAATGTGCTTGATTCTATTCCAAAGTTCGGTTCCTTTCTACAGAACTCAGCTTCTCTCTTGTTTTTATTAACATTTTTAATTATAGAATTAATAAACTTAAAAATTAGCAGATCTATATAAAGCTGTGCCACCTCCACTCCCCAAGATGCTCTTGCTAACAGTTTAGGGTGTCTCATTCTAGGCATTTTCTTTGCATGTCTTTCATCTTCTCGTTTCATATCTTGTGACTATCACTAAAAGTATAATCATTTAAAAGTTATTTTAGAAGCTACCAAATTAAGAACAAAGAGGTGTTAGACATGTGGATGGACAGTGAATTTGGTTCTGTTCATCACATTTGAATTTCACACAGACTTTTTTTTTAATTGTCCAGTGATGTGTTATTTAATTAGGAGTTTCAAAATGAAGTATTCTATCATTCCTTCTTCATTTATTACCTGAAATACTTATAATGAGAAATTTCTCTTAGTCAACATTTGGATTACTTTGAGTTACAGTTTTGAGCAAATAAATATACCTATAATTTTTTTAATAAAAATGAATCAGGCTTTATTAGGACCAATGTTTTATATTAGACTTTATGTTTTTCTCATGATTACAAGTCTTGCAAAGCACCAATTTCCTTAAATTTAGATAAAACATAAAAAAGAATAATCATGAGTAAAATAATGTCTTAAAATAATAAAAGATATGGTAGGTTAATGTGTAATTCATTTCTAAATGGATTCTGTAGTCATCGCTATAGGCATTAGACAAAGTCATTAAAAGGTATATGAGCTAAATGGTAGTTAAAATTTGAACCAAAAGGAACTCCAGAGCCCATCATCTTAATTTATTCTACTGCGCTGCGATTACTGATGCCAAAGGTGCAAGGTGCAGAGATGCTAGCCTAGCTCAGCTCAAGCCACTGCGGTAGCACAGTGTGAAGGGACAAGCCCCTGTACGAGTTCTCACGCAGGATGTAGGCAGCTGGTAACTTTTAAACTGAATTTAGTCTGAGTTTTATTTAAGGGTGAAGGAATTGATCTTTAAGGCTAGGTATGTTATCGAAGAGGTGAATAACGACATTACCCCAGAAGTTGGAACCAACAAATTTTGTGTTGTGTGTACAGTATGTATATCCAAAAATTGTATGCATATTTGTTGCTATAAAAACTTTAGAGGGCAAAAGGGTTTGCTGGTTTTTGTTTGTTTTAATCTCATTTGGTTGTCCTAAAACCTTGAGAAGTAGGAAAAGGAGGTAAGGTATAGTGGTCTGCATTTTACATGTGAAAAGAGTTGCTCCACGGTAGGGCTAGCTTGCAGTCTGCTTGAGTCTCAAGACCGGGGCTCTTTCCCTATACACCTGAGAATGTGAGTGCCTTATATAGAAGGTTTTGCATCAAGATACTGTTTGAGAGTAAATTCAATTTCAAAGGCTGGAGTGGGAGGGAGGTTGCAGCCATGAGTCAGGGCTGTTAAGTGATCTGACCTCACTGATGCGACAAGGAGATCTTACATATTTTGTTTATGGTCCGCTATGGGGCACTGGACAACAATTCTTAGAACCATGTCCCTCTGTACAGCTGCTAGGCTGGGAACTGGTTAATAATAGATCTTAAGACACAAAGGCGTTTTCATCGTTCATTATGAAATCATGCATTTTTCACCAGCTGTTGGGGTTTGTTCTTGTGGGGATACACAAGAGGGTGGTAGCACCATTGATTTGAGCAGCCTGGTATCAAATTGTGTTCGCAGATTATAATACAACCTGCATGGAGGAAAATATAATTTTGAGGTCAGGACGTTATGTTGAGTTATTGATGAAATTCACATGTTTTCATGAGATCCAGAATGGGCTTTCTTCAGTGAAGCAATGGAACACAAGAACGACACAGCATTACTTCCATAATTGTATGTGAAGATATCTTGGCTTAATGTAGACTAGTGTTAGAAATAGATTAGTATAGGGCCAGCCCAGTGGCGCACTGCTATAGTGCGCCGCTTGAGAAGCGCGGCGGCGCTCCCGCCGAGGGTTCGGATCCCACATACAGACCGGCCACTCACTGGCTGAGCGAGGGGCGGGGGCAACACCGAGGGTTGCAATCCCGTGGCCAGTCCCGGTCCGGTGCGGGCGCAATACTGAGGGTTGCGATCCGTTGCCGGTCACGAAAAAGGACAAAAAGGAAAAAAAAAAAAAAAAGAAATAGATTAGTATAGAACACAGAAGAAAACAGAGGATCACAAGCAGAAGAACAGAAGAGAAGGACAGGCAGGATCAAGGTGGACTTTTCCTTTACATTAGGATAATTTCCTAATGAGAAATTGAAGTGAAAACTAATATTCTTTATATATAAAAAGTGCTTAGAAAACAGTAAGAGGTGGGGTGGGGAGTTGATGACCTGAATAAGCATTTCTCAAAAGAAATGTAAACGGTCCATAAAGACAAAAAAAAAATCCAACTTTAATAATTAAATCAATTTAGAATAAAAATAATTTGCCATTTTGAGACTAACAAATTGGCAAAATTTTTATTAAAGATAATACATGTTGCTGGTAGAAATTTGGAAAACAGTTTCTATTTTATTAATGAAAATAACAAACCGTCTTTGTTGGATGATACATCAAATTCTTTGGAAAATGTACATGTATCTTGCCCAAGAATTTCCCTTCAAAAAATGTGTCCTAAAAGTTAATGAAGGATGTGCAGCAGTATATAAGTATAGAGGAACTCATTGCTGTTTGTAATAGAGAAAATTTAGAAGCACGCTATGTTCTTAGTGAAAAGGGATAAGTTAAATAAACTGGTTTGTTCACACAGTAGCACACTGAATTTGATGGTGTAAAACCATACTGTCTGAAATAGCATTTTCACAATAAGTTAAGTGAAATTATAGGTACTAAATAGTCTGTATACTATGATCCCATTTCAAAAGAGGGTTTAGTAGGATAAAAACAAAAATATTAGTGATGGTTCTAGGTTTTCTTTTTGATAATCTTTTTTTTTCCTGATTTTTTTGTAATGAACGTAAGGGAAAAGGGAAAGGTTTTTAATAATCATATGTACTGCGAACTTCTATTGAGTTGAGCAGCAATCTCAAGCAAGCTTTGCTGCTCAGAGGGACTGTACATATTGTTCCAGAAATGTCAGGTTTTATGTATTTGAGTTAGAAATGCTGGTTGGCTCTCATCTGCTTATGACCGTGGAGTCTGGTTTTAATTATATAAAATGGCATCTTTCATAGGTAAGTGAAACAAATTCCAGCCATTCCCCGGAGCGGAGAGAGAAGGGGGGAGAAGGGGGGGATGAGGAGTATTATATTTTATTTTTACTAGTTTATATTTAAAGTAACCTCAGGATTTAGATGGACACCCTGTTTTATTTTCTAGGCCAAACACCAGAACACCCTAGAAGGTTTAACTAAAAGAATGCTCATGTTTGACCCAGTTCCTGTCAAGCAGGAGGCCATGGACCCTGTCTCTGTGGTAAGTTTTCTAAAATTGAACACCTCTACTTGTTTGTCCCAGGTGATGATAACGTTATTATTGTGCATTGTGTTGTTCCTTAAAGTTACTCATTCCTTGACAGGAATTTGATAGGCAAAGTTTTCTCAAAAGTCCCTGGTAGTAAGTGAGGTAAATACCCTCCCAGCAACTGTGCATCCTTTGATAAAGGGGACCCAGGCCTCCTTAAGACCCATGCCCCACATCCCCCAAGATAAGATCAGCATAGAACTCAGGCCACAGGTAAATCTGTTCATGACAGAAGTTGGTTTACAAAAACTACTCAGCCCTTTTATATGTAAAAATATATTAAGAATAAAATGATTTACTTAAAAACCGTTGACAACAGCCATATGGAGCTGTGACTATGAGACATGACTGAGGAGAAGCCAGCGAGAGAAAGAACTTGGCGGGGAGGCTGGAATCTCACTTCACTTGGAAGAGTCTGGGGCGGGCGGGAATTGTGTTCATTGTCCTTTTCAACACCTTAGTGCTAAGCTGGCCCCTCTCGTGAGCCAGACCACCAGATAGTTTCAGGCCAGCGGGAGACTAGTAATTAGTCCAGGTGTTTATATAGGTACTAGTGCCATGGGGATGAGACATGGTGACAAAGAAAGGTGTCTGGCTTCAAAGTGGGGAGTGGTTTAGACTGGAGAGGATCTGGTTTAGTGAACATTGAATAAGGAGGCAGCACTCCCACTCCGTCTTGCTCTTTTCTTCCACGGGCTCGGAAAATATTCACAAGGGGAAAAGCTTGGCCTGGGTTGTGTATCTGAAGGTTGGTAATGACACGCTTGCAAAATTAGATCATCCTTATGCATTGGCTATGGAGGTTCCTGCCAAAAATGTTTATATGAGACACAGGGTCACTCCAAGGCCCTTAGAACTCAGTTGCCTTGGATATTACTAAGACAGTGAAATGTTTACCAGCCTCTGTAATGAAAGGGTAAGTCACAGTGGCTTTAAGGAAATAACATTTACATGCTAGCACGATAACTGGATGACCAAGTGTCTGAATAGAATTGAGCAGTAGGACTTTTTTAGTCAAAAAACTAATGTTATTCAGTGCTGTCATCATATTGTCAAGTCCACCCCCATCCCCCAACTATTGCATGATCACGTTAGAGGAAAATTAAGGTATAAAATTCCCCCATTAATTACATCCTTGAAGTATGAATAGGTTTTTAGTACCAGAGAATATGATTAATTTTATAAATGAGGCATTTTATTCTTCAGTGTACTTCCAATGCTTTTAATCAAGCAAAAAAATGTGGCTCAGGAGCCTAATTTAAAGCTAAAATGAAGGTCTACATTGCTGAGTTGGTATGATATCATTAAGTGCAAAGAAATGCACTTACCTGAAAAAATGGGAAATAAATGAATTGGAAGTAACTAAAACTTGTAATGTTGTAACTTGTAGTAATACATGAAATCAAAGTATGTAGAAGTATTTTTGCAAGTAGTCATCCTTTTCTCTTTTACACTCTAGTTTTCAACTTCAACTGACACTTAACAGAATTCTGTTTCACCAAAACTTACTGTCGGTCCTTGCAATGAAGGGTTTTTTCTTAATTCAGCAAAACCTCAGTTAACTGAAACATTGGAGGAGTAGGATGTTTTAAATTTTTTACTTAAAAAAATTAATAAAAAGCATTTGGGGCCGGCCCGGTGGCGCACTGGATAGTGCGCCGCTTGGGAAGCGCGGTGGCGCTCCTGCTCGAGGGTTCGGATCCCACATACAGACCGGTTCCCGCTCACTGGCTGAGCGAGGCATGGGGGCGACGCTGAGGGTTGCAATCCCGTTGCCGGTCCCCGGCCCGGTGCGGGGGCAACACTGAGGGTTGCTTAAATGTTCAAATTTCATCTTTCCTGCCTTCATCTTATTTATTATGATAAATAATAATAATTTATTATTCCTTTTTCTTTTTATTTCTGTCTTTGACCTAAAGGTCAAAGTCTTCGGTTATTCAGGTCCATGTTGTAAACATTAAGGCAGTATAGGACATTTGTAAGGTTTTTTTTAATTCCACATGAATAAAAATATTTTATAGTAACTTATCTCTCCCCCACTTTTAAAAGAAGAGTACAACAGAAGCAATCTGCTTATTTGGTATTTTGCTATAGCTTAGAGAAAGTGAGAAAATATGATTTGTCTGTTACCGAAATACAAGCCTTCTTACCATTCTCTGCCAAACCTTGTGCTCTGAGGCTTAGGATCACCCTGTTAAAATTTGCAAGAATGGAGAGCAGGGTAGACCCTTCCTCCTCAGGTCTATGCCATGTGCCTGCTACTTAATGTCCACCAAATGTTGGCAAAATCACCAACAGCCCCCAAGCCTCCTTTTTTAAAAAAAAATTTGTAAAATGTGAAACGCTATGGGGCCGGCCCGGTGGCGCACTGCTACAGTGCGCCGCTTGGGAAGCGCGGCGGTGCTCCCGCCGAGGGTTCGGACCCCACATTCAGACCGGTTCCTGCTCACTGGCTGAGCGAGGTGCGGGGAGCAACACCGAGGGTTGCGATCCCGTTGCCAGTCCCGGGCCGGTCCGGGCGCGACACTGAGGGTTGCGATCCGTTGCCAGTCATGAAAAAAGACAAAAAGGAAAAAAAAAAAATGTGAAACACTATGTGTATATAAAATGCACATGTAAAGAACTTGTTTTGACCATTTTCAAAAAGGTTGACAATTACAGCATTTAATTCAGGAAGTGAGAAAGAAAACATTGTTTTTAAAAAAAAAATCACCACCAAATTTTGCAAAATAGTCTTCTGTTACTATAGGAAGATCACTTTTGAGGAAAATATATTTCTTTCTTCCTGTTTTCTTTCTTTTTAATGAAAATTATCATCTAACAGGCTCCTTATAGATTGAGAAGTACTAAAAATCAATAGTTTCCTCTGCTGTGTTCCAACAGAAACTTTTCATGACTTTTCTGAGCCTGGTAGAAAGAGAGCTTTCTACTTTTGTTTGCATAGAGGGGCATGACATTTGCTGCTTCCAGAGTGTCTGTTTATACATGCACCACGCCTGGCTATGCCTGGAACCCCACCCTCAGTATGAAGAGGCCTTTGACTTGCCCTGTCACGGACATTCCCTTTTTTTCTTATTAATGAATAGTGAAACAGGGACCTCATCCATGTTTCATTTAGTCACTCCATCCACTTAAACTGTCCTGTAATGGAAAATTCACCAAAACTCTTCCTAACAAAATACAAAACTATTGAAATTCTCACTTCGGTATAAAGCAATGGTTAGGGCTTTGGGAAATTCTCCAAACCCTGTGCCTTTTTTTCCGATCACAATTAAAATCATTTTTTCCAAGATTCAAAAAGATCGGTATTATCCTTAGCCTTGTCAGTAGTAAAAACTTGCTAAAAGGGCCGGCCCGGTGGCGCACTGCTGTAGTGCGCTGCTTGGGAAGCGAGGCGGCACTCCCGCCGAGGGTTCAGATCCCACATACAGACCTGTTCCCGCTCACTGGCTGAGCGAGGCACGGGAGCAACACCGAGGGTTGCGATCCTGTTGCTGGTCCTGGTCCGGTGCGGGGGCGACACTGAGGGTTGCGATCCGTTGCCGGACACGGAAAAAGACAAAAAAAAAAAAAAAAACTTGCTAAAAGAGTGTGTTAATTCACTTCATGCGTTCATGAAGTATTTATTGAGTACCTATGCCAAACCCTCCTCTCACATTCCTAGGACAAGCAGCAGTCTGTAAATAATACACACTGTATGGAAGTAAGATCTTGGGAAGGTGTGTTACAATGGTAGGAAAGAACTTTTTCTTAATAACAGGTCGTTTTGAAAAGTAAACCCTTTACCACCCCTAGTGGGGGAAGAGGGGCAGACCCTGCTAATGTCTTGTCTCCGGGTTGCTGTGTGGCAGAACACAGGATTTCCTGGGATGAGGAGTATGCTCAGGGGGCATTGGATGTCCACCCATGGCCAGAGGTGCATTTTCTGCTTCATCAACGCTTGCCTCTGATTTGGATTTCTGACCAGTACAGTCACAATGATTTGCATTGCTTTGTTAGAAGATAGGAATGGTCTGGAACACAGGGGAAGCAACTCTAACCAGGGTGTGCCTACCCAAGGCACACACCCTGATCGAACCCTGTATCAGCCCTGGCACTGTGGAGAACAATTATTGCCAGCTAATTGTAGTAGCTTGTGTACTCCACCCAAATAATTAAAGTAAACATGTCTTAGAGAAGGTTCTGGTAAACATTGCTATGAAATTTGCCAGTGAGCTGGTTTGAGAGACCATATTTCTTCACCCTTTTGTGAAGCAGTTGGACTGGAAATTGTTAATTATGTACTCAGAGTTGGGTGCCTGTGTCCAAATGTGTCTCCCCACATTTAGCCTTGTACCTTACAATAAACACACGTTCAGTATAGGGGACAGGGACATTCATTTGACAGCAAACTATCAGTGAAACTGTGCATCATGTTTATAAAACTTAGTTGTATGTGTGGCTTTCTCTTTCTTGATGACTTGAGAAACCTGAGAATTTTATTAAATTTGCAAATCTCTCAGTTTCTAAATTCCTTACTTTCCTTAAACTCACCCCATGGATAGAAGAATCCAGCAATGACAGCAATAAAAATATGTCCTCCTTTTGATTCCTGTTTAGCTGCCAGTAACTATTGGCGTTAAAATCTAGGTCATAGGGAGGTCTTGGAAGAATAGGACTGAGAATAAGGGAGAAGAAGCTACATTTTGATGAGTAGAAACAATGTTGCTTTCCATTTCCTGAACTTTTTTTTTTTTTTTTTTTTCCTTTTTGTATTTTTCCGTGTCCGGCAACGGATTGCAACCCTCAGTGTCGCCCCCGTACCGGACCGGGACCGGCAACGGGATTGCAACCCTCGGTGTTGCTCCCGCACCTCGCTCAGCCAGTGAGCGGGAACCGGTCTGTATGTGGGATCCGAACCCTTGGCGGGAGCACCACCGCGCTTCCCAAGCGGCTCACTATAGCAGTGCGCCACCGGGCCGGCCCTTCCTGAACTTTTTTCCTGGTACCAGAGCTTTTGCCCCTTAGAGAATTATATAAAACACATTAAACTTTAGAACTAGGAGAAATCTTCCTGCCCCATGTATTTAATTACTTCCTGAAACCCTCATTGTACATAATTTATAACTTTTTTTTGTTAATGAACCTTGTGCCTCTTTTAATAATGTCCATTTTAATATTTAAATTTAAATATACTTATGATTTAATATTAATGTTGCTATATAGTTTGGACTTCTCACCTTGTGTTGTACTTGCATGTGCCTGGTTCTAAAGAAAGGCAGAAATAATAATCATTTGATCCTTGATATATAATGTAAAGCTCTTATTAGAAATAATAATTTATATGTTTTGTATTTCCTGATATTCTTGATGTCCTTGTTTGTAAAGCGGTATTAGTAGTGAAAAAATACTCTCCCTCTTTAAATTGGTCTTTACTGTATTTCTTTTATATCTCTGTCATTTAGAGCCTTGCTATTCAAAAGGTAGTCTTGTGGCCCTTTGGGCCACTCCTCAGTAATTCAGAATCTGCTTTTTAACAAGATCCCTAGGTGAATTTGTGTGCACAATAAAGTTTGAGAAGCCCTGGTTGGGAGCAGCAAAGGCCATTCCAGTGAGCATCTCTTGTAGAAAGTGAAAGGGCGACAGGACCCGAGCTGACAGTTCACCAGAGAAGTTCCGTTTTATTCAAGGACTGCGTGTACATTTATAGGGAGCTGTGTTCCGGGGTTGGATAGGGGGTGGACAGGGCGGTAGCTGATTGGACAGGGCTGGACAGGAGGTGAGCTTTGACCTGTGACTGGCTGAGGTTTGGCGCGGGTGGGCTTGTTTACTGCAGAGAAGAACCCGGAAGGGCGCCATATTGCTAGGGTGTGTCCCTGTTCAGGTGCCCATGGGGTCCCTACAGAAAGGACAAGAAGGGACTCCTAGGAACACAGTGTATCAAGCATTATGTTAAGCTCATTACATAGGTTATCTCATCGAATCCAATTTTAATTTTAACCTCACAGCCTCCTTGAAGGTGGGTATTCAGTACCACCTTAACGAGTTTTGCCATGTCCTCATAGCAGTTACACTTCTAATATTTAGTTAGTAATTTTTCTTACATTCTTTTATAGAATTGCTTTTTTAACATGATAAATTTATTTTGAAAGGGTACTTTATACCACTTCTGTAAAAAATATGTATAACAGTTTTTTCTTGCACATTCAAATAAACACATAACTATTTTTTTTTTTTTCCCTTTTTATCTTTTTCGTGACCGGCAATGGATCGCAACCCTCAGTGTTGCGCCCAGACCGGGACTGGCAACGGGATCGCAACCTTCGGTGTTGCGCCCGCACCTCGCTCAGCCAGTGAGCGGGAACCAGTCTGTATGTGGGATCTGGACCCTTGGCGGGAGTGCCGCAGCACTCCCAAGTGGCGCACTGTAGCAGTGCGCCACCGGGCCGGCCCAACACATAACTATTTAATGTGTGTCCATCATGTGCCACCTATAAGCATCTTAGGTACCCCAAGAGAGATGTGCACCATACTGCAAGAGTCAGTGTTCTGGGAGGTTATAAAGGTTATAATGATCTGGATAAAGAAAGGACAAGGAAGAGGGAAAAAAAATTTAAAAACATAATCTTAATGATGAGAAACTGACATCAAAACCAGATAAAGATAAACACAATTATGTGATCAACAGTTCTACTGCCTGGGTCCCTACTGCCCAGTACTTTGCACAGCAGGCCTGGAGTAGGGACCAGGCATCTGGAATTTTTAAACAGCACAGATGATTCCAGTGCATAGCTGGGTGGAGATTCGCCAATCTAGGCCTGGAGAGGAAAGGGTGTGATCTCAGTAGTGATCCCAATCAAAACCACTGCTACCCCACTATTATTATAACTCACAGTAGTGGCCACTAGAGGGGCCAGCAGGGCTCAGAAATTAATAGTGCATTTAGACTGTTTAATTAGGCTCCATTGATAGGGGGTTTTTTTGTTTGAATCATGAGTTAGTATTGCCTTCAAATTATAAATGCATAGGACTTTAAAGGTATAAGACAGGCATGGTATGTTGCTTATTACTGTTACTGTAAAACATTCAAATGCAAATAATTTTCTGCAAGTGGATTTGATATGTTATCACTAAAAATGTCAGTTTTCTAAAATGACTACCTGTAAAGAAAATGGCCTATATTGAGTTTAATTTTTTTTTTTTTTTTTTTGTCTTTTTTCGTGACCGGCAACGGATCGCAACCCTCAGTGTCGCGCCCGTACCGGACCGGGACCGGCAACGGGATCGCAACCCTCGGTGTTGCCCCCGCTCCTCGTTCAGCCAGTGAGCGGCCGGTCTGTATGTGGGATCCGAACCCTCGGCGGGAGCGCCGCCACACTTCCCAAGCAGCGCACTGTAGCAGTGCGCCACCGGGCCGGCCCCAATATATTGAGTTTAATTTTTAAAAAAATTATTTTGGGGCCAGCCCCGTGGCGCACTCGGGAGAGTGCAGCGCTTGGGAGCGCAGCGGCACTCCCGCCGCGGGTTCAGATCCTGTATAAGGATGGCCAGTGCATTCACTGGCTGAGCGCGGTGCAGGCGACACCAAGCCAAGGGTTGCGATCCCCTTACCGGTCACAAAAAAAAAAAAAAAAAAAATTTTACGTTCTACCACGAAGTTTTTTGTTTGTTTCAGTTAAGGGGTAGAAGTAATTTAGGTGAATTCCATGGTCAAGGACAGTACCCATAGTGTGAAATTATTGTGACTGATTGTATTCAAAGCTGGCAGATGGAAGTTAAGTTATCCTCATAAGAGAGAAAGGTGTATTTAAAGATAAACTAGGTCAGTTGTGGAACAGATCTTACATTTGGGAGGAAACAGACTGTTTTGTCTCTCCTGCAGTATCTTGTTAGGTTGTCTTCCAGTCTTGTTTGCTGAGTGGGTAGCAGGGTACAGAGGAGAGAACACTGGGCTGCAGCTGGTGTGCCAGTGACTTTGTGCACCACATTTCCTTACTTGAGTCATGTCATGTGGGCTGTTTCTTACAGTTCTGCATCATCCACAGATTTGAAAATCAAGTCATTATCTACAGCTTCATTCAAATTGTGAATAAGACTATTGAACAAGTTGGGGCCAAGGACATAGTTGCCCTTGTGAGGGTGTCTGTCTTTCAGTACCTAGGTGTATAGGGTGACTGACCCTCCTGGCTTGCCTGAGACTGAGGCGTTTCCTTGGATGTGGGACTTTCAGTGCTAAAACCAGGACAGTCCCAGGCAAACTAGGATTGTTGGCCCACTAGGTATGGATTTTTCAGTGGCTGACACGCATCAAAAGATACACATGCAGCCCAGTTTCTCCTTATTATACACAAGTATATCATGAGATGTGTTAAATGTTCTGTAACCACCCAGACAGCATTTCCTGCCCATCAAGAAACCCCATCAGAAAAGCGAGGAGGTGGCCGGCCCGTGGCTCACTCGGGAGAGTGTGGTGCTGATAACACCAAGGCCCCGGGTTCGGATCCCATATAGGGATGGCCGGTTAGCTCGCTGGCTGAGCGTGGTGCTGACAACACCAAGTCAAGGGTTAAGATCCCCTAACCGGTCATCTTAAAAAAAAAAAAAAAAGCGAGGAGGGCTAGTTTGGCTTGGCTAGTTCTTGGTGAACCCCAGTTCTGACTCCTGATGATAAAGACCCACAGGCCTTTTGTGTTACAACCTGCTTTAGAGTTTTGCCAGCTATCAGCCTTAACATTTGGCTTGGGAATCCTCTCATAATTAAATTTCCGATTTTCCACGTGGCCCAGTGACCACATTGACCTTAGTTCTAATGTTCATTAGACCATCTCTCTCAGAAGCGTTTTTTAGGTCAAGCATATATCTAAATCTAAAACACTTTTTAACGCCCGTGTAATTGTCAGCGCCCTGTTGTGTGTTTGTGAATTAGCGTTTCAGACAAATGCACTCGGTGGCTGTCTGCACGTTCTGATTTTTCCCCCTCGCCCTCTCCACTAGTCCTACCCATCGAGCTACATGGAGTCGATGAAGCCCAACAAGTATGGGGTCATTTACTCGACACCGCTGCCCGACAAGTTCTTCCAGACGCCGGAAGGCCTGTCGCACGGGATGCAGATGGAGCCGGTGGACCTGACGGTGAACAAGCGCAGCTCGCCGCCCTCGGCTGGGAACTCGCCGTGCTCGCTCAAGTTCGCGGCCGCGCACCGGAGGGCCTCGCCGGGCCTGAGCCTGCCGTCGTCCAGCCCGCCCATGAAGAAGTACTCGCCGCCGTCCCCGGGCGTGCAGCCCTTCGGAGTGCCGCTGTCCATGCCGCCCGTGATGGCAGCCGCCCTGTCCCGCCACGGCATCCGCAGCCCGGGCATCCTGCCCGTCATCCAGCCCGTCGTGGTGCAGCCCGTCCCCTTCATGTACACGAGCCATCTCCAGCAGCCGCTCATGGTCTCCTTGTCGGAGGACATGGAAAACTCCAACAGCAGCATGCAAGGTAACCTGCCCGCCCCACAGCGGGGCTCCCGGGCCTTCCCCAGACAGTGCGGGTGAGCGGGTGAGCGGGTGAGGAGGGGGCAGGAGCTGCCGGGCTCTTCCAAGGAAACAAACACTCGGCTGCCTGAGGCATTTCCTCTTTTGCTTTTTTTTTTTTTTTCCTTGATGTGTTGATATTGGAAGAGCTCCCAAGAATTAGGCCGTCTGTTTAATACCATGAGATGATTTTCACTGTATAATTGTCAACTTCGGGGTAGTAAGAATCTTGACTTTATATTTTGCTTTATTGAATACCAACATGGTTCTAAGTACAAAAGACATTTAATAAATACTTTCTGATCGTGGTGATAAACTAATGGCTATTAAAAGCTACCTTGTTCACCAGCTAGTCATAGACAGGACTGTGGGGTTGAAGGGAGATAATCAAAAATCATAAGGAAGAATCATTTCAGGGCTGGTATCTTAGTAGTCGAGTTCCCTATGTTTGTTGCTTTGCTGACAAAATAGTGGTCAGGAGAAATGAGAATCCCCCACAGACTTGTTCCTGCTATGGTTTTGCCAAAGGCAAACAAATACACATTAGTGTTGTGTATAGGAACCTTGCAGTGAGCTTTTTAAAGCTGAAATTGGTAAACTGTTTGTAGAGTGACTTTTCTATTTTTATTTTTCAGTACCTGTAATTGAATCATATGAGAAGCCTGTATTACAGAAAAAAATTAAAATAGAACCTGGGCTCGAACCACAGAGGACAGATTATTATCCTGAAGAAATGTCACCCCCTTTAATGAACTCAGTGTCCCCCCCGCAGGCATTGTTGCAAGAGTAAGTATATTTGGGTGTACCCAGCGTTTGTGTAGTAGCACGCACCTTGGGACCTGGAGTAGAAGCGCAAGATTTCAAGCGTGTGATGTGTGTTGATGACCAGGAGCGCCTTGTAATATATGACAGCCCACTGGGCAGTGGCCCAGTACCACTGGTCAAGATGGGAGAATCTCTGCAAAATCAGTGTGCTCTCTGTTACACAGGCAACATTATGACAATAGTTACATCAAGTTTTCAGTGAGTTAGTCACCCATGATTTTGCACCGTACCACAATAAATCATTTTTGTTTTCTTCATCTTCTCAGGCTGTGTATACAGTTTTCTCATAATTGGAATCCTTCTGTAGATTGAATTTAGTGTTCTAGATATTCCATGTAAGCTTGAATCATGAAAAGTTTTCATGTAGACACACAAAGTCGTCCCAATTTTCACTTCAAATCTAGTATACTGTTTCTATTATGGAGAATGTCTTTAATCAAAATCTCCAGGCCAACCACAAGACCAAGAGAGACACTAAAACAAGTCCTGTAAGTAGTGTTGACAACAGAAAGTTGTCCATGTAGCTCAGAGAAGCTCAGCATTGAAAGAACTCTGTTCTCCAGTTTTTTAATCCTGTCATCTGTAGAGTGTTCAGTCTGCTGTATAGTTGCCACCCAGTAGGAAGGTTGTGCCATCAGTCATCATCTGAGCACCTGAATGGTGGTTTCTTTTAGGGCTAACATGCTCTGATGTGATGATGCTGCACACAGGTTAAATAACATCATTCCTGGGGTTTGCCACTATAGAAATCCTTGACTTCTAGAAGTGAGTGTACTGGATGCTGTGTTTGTAGAAGCCGAGAAGATGGCCTTTGGATCCAGTGTCTTGGATTCGGCTCTCCTTTCTACCATATGTATAACCTTGGGCTGGTCACATAATCTTGTGCTGTTTCCTCTTTATTTTCATTATTGATTGTACTTGTTGTCGTAATTGTCTTGGATTCAGTAGCCAGCTTCCTGATACAAAGGCACAAGTTTTCTTACATCCTCTTCCTCGCACATCACCTTTTCTCCAACTTGAATAAATGTTCTACCCACCTTTCTATTTTATCTTCTCTACCCTGCTCCTTCACAGTTAACTGCAGCAGAATGTGAATTCTGTGGCTTTAGAAAAGCTATTATCTGGTAACAGCACATATAATCTAGTTGTACCCACATTCTGCTCGGGTAGGTGCCTTCATAGCAGCTCATTTATTGTCTGCTGCACCAAGTCATAGTCTTTTTTGTTGTTGTTGTTGTTATCATACACATATTTTCCAGTAGATAAAGAAGAGGATGAATCTTCTTACCCAACTGCATCAGTGTCCCTGATGGGGTTGTACATTATTACTGTTCACAATTGTATAGTGCCCCCTTCCTTCTTAAAAAAGAAACTTTTCCAAGGGTTTTCAAAAAAATTACTTTATTCCCCATAACAAGTGGGTGGACGTCAGAGCAAATAGAGAACTGAGGAGTCAAGACATTAAAAAACTCGCCTATAACCACTGTTAACAACCCACGGGGACCCGGGCTTGATCTCCTGCTTACGGATGAGTGCGCTTCCCGCAGTCCTGTCCATACCTAACTGACAGCAGCTGCTCATGTGCTCAGGTGATGAAAGGAAAAACAGAATGACTCAGCAAAATGGACACATCCTGTAGGCTGAATTACCTCTTTTTTATTATGAGGGTTTCTCTGGCAAAGTAACTAGCAACATGACATGCACTTGTAATTGTTTCTACAGAGATGATGAAAAGATGCCATAAAACAAAGTAAAGCCAGTAGTCTATGAACAGAGGGACCCATTGACTGAAAGAGCGTTATTCTAAAGTCTAGGCTACTGTAAATTACAATGTAAAACACTGCAGAAGATTTGAAGGCACTATTCTGTGCTATGAGTGTTGCTTAAAAGTACTTTTTTCTTTCCTATTTGAAGTAATGTTCTTTTGATGATTTCAAGCTCAGCGGTTTTTAGTGATTAATGAGTAATGTGCTTATTTTAATGCTGACCTAAGAATGCATTTTGCTCCCCAGAAAAATTCAATAGATTAGCCACAAATGGAACATGTACATTAAGTAATTCTCTCACAGATGTGATTAAGTAATGTCTTGGAGCATGCCCAGTAGCAGCCCACATAGGAAACCAGCTAGCCAGGAGAGAATCATTTGAAACCAGGAGCCTAGCACCATTGCCGTGTGAGGCAGCCCCAATAGTATTTGCCTTTTGAAATCCTCCCTTTCCAGAGGCAGACTTTAAAACACAACTTTGAAATCCATTTGCTTGGTCGTAGAGTTACAGCTTTAGAATTATTTTTAAAGACACTCAGGGCTGAGCCCGTGGCGCACTCGGGAAAGTGCGGCACTGGGAGCACAGCAGTGCTCCCGCCACGGGTTCGGATCCTATATAGGAATGACTGGTGCGCTCACAGCGCTCACTGGCTGAGCGCGGTGCAGCCGGTCTCAAAAAGGACAAAAAAATAAAATAAAATAAAAATAAAGACACTCAAAGGTATATCAAATTCCTTTTGTTTTATATTTACATATATGAAACTATTTAGAATGAAGAGCTTGAGGGTCACATTTCCCTGCTGAGTTGTGTATGTGAATTGTAGCGAATTTAAGAGGTGCCGGCTTGACTCAGAACAAAGACACAGGTATCCGATATTTCATAGATATTCTGACATCTTTCTTATAATGGTCTCAAACCACCTTTTTAAAAATGAGGAGCGAAGAGATCAAAAAGTGTGAGATCCCAAGACCCTTATCTCTAGCTTCATCCTGAACCAACATCAAGCTCTTTAGAAATGGGCTGCTAAACACTCTGAAAATGTTACCTTTCAAGGTATCCGTTTGCTTGAATAGAAATTTCCTGGTCTGATTTTGGGACATCCGCAAAAAATCTCATGAAATTAAACAGTTGTAGGGTGCAAAGTTCCAAATGGGTAAAGCATTTCTGAGCCTCAGAATATTAACAGCTACCATTTCATAGTTTTACCTCTGAAGTAGACGTTCTCGAGTGCTTTATGTACATTACAGTAACCTGCTGAGATGATATTTCTCACAATAATATTCTGAGATGACGTTGTTATCATCATCCCCATTTTATAGAGAGGAAATTGAGGCACAGAGAGGATAATAAATACCTTGCTGAGGATCACAGAGATGATCAGTGACAGAGCTGGATTTAAAGTTGTAGCCCACAGCCTTTAAGCACACCTTTATCTATAAAATAAACAACTGGGGAAAGCAATCATAATTACTGCACTGACACTATTAGATTCCCAACCCATAACATCCACTAATTGGGAGAGATTTCTAAAGTTGTTTGGGATACTCTCCCAGTGTCCCAGAGACATACTCTACCGGTTTGCCAGTTAATAGCTAATTATTAAATTTCTTCCCCAGCATTTTATTTCCTGATATTGTCTTACTGAAGAAAGTTGAAAGTTAAAAATAAACTATTTTCTTTTTATTGAAGGATTTTAAATGAATAATTCAGTCTTATAAAAAACTATTTCTGTCCGTAAACCTCTTCTCTATTTTCTCTATTTGTTTTTACATATATGAGGGTACTTCAAAAAGTTCATGGAAAGATTTGTATTATCCTTTAATTCTATTTTTCTATGAAGTTTTCTAAGTGCCCTTGTATGTAATTGAAGTTCTTGTTTGTTTTTCCCCTTACTATTTCATGTTCACTTTTCCATGTATCTAAATTTGGCTATTTCATCCGTCTGCTACCCCTACTCCACTCCAGGCATCAGGGTAGGAAGGTGAAGTAACACTCAACACTGACAGATTTCTTTGCTAATAATAAAAGTGTGAGAAGTAAATACGGTCACTTAAAATGAACACACTTTAAATTCTTTTCCTAGTGGCTTTTTAGCATTCCTGAAAAATTACTTATTGACAAGGGATGTGTATTCAAATATTTACCAGGACAAAAAACAAATTTCATTGCAGGGACTCCCTTTTGATTTTTATGTTTATATTTTATTATCCTCTTTTTTTCTTTTTTTAAAATTTTTTTTAATCCCACAAGTTTCAATGTTTGCCCTCATCAGATTCTTTTTTTCCTTTTCATCTATCTTTTTCTTCCTATACACACTTGTACAAAACATTTGTTTATTATTTGAGGAACTACAGACTTAAATTTAAAAGAAGAAGTCTTTCAGTACAGTTGGAGGGCAACTACCTAAACTTATAATGTATCAAGTAATTAGTCATTAGGAAAGTGAATGAATGGATTAGAACTTTTTTAATTACTTACATTAATCAGCAAGATAAGCCTGAGAAAATTTTACAGACTTTTCCCAGCTCTTCCCCATCTACCTTTTCTCTCCCACCATCTTTTCTGAAAAAGAGAAAGTTCATGGTAATGATGTTTAACAGGATTTGATTTCAGACCAACCCTAGGAGGGCTGTGCACACACAGGAACGTGAGAAATCCAGAAGGTAGGGAGAGCTAAGGAATGACAGTGCTTTAGAGCCAGTATCGTGGGTGACACTTCTGTACCCGGCTACTAACTCTGCAGTGAAGTTCTCCCTTATATAGGAATAAGAGTGACAAGGAAGGTTTGAGTTTGTTCAGACAGCAGTACCAACTTTTTTTTTTTTAAAGAACCCAGCGTTTGAAAATTAATTGTGACTGGGCAGTCTTGAAGACACTGAAACTAAGTGCCAGTTATATAAAGGATAAAATGCAGACATTCCTACAGTGTGGTTGTCTGAGTGTTAGGAATTTGACCTTTTCCATTTTTCCCTAAAAAACAATAACGAAAATCAGGGCAGCTTGTGGAAAGATAATAGTACAGTGTTCAGCATTGCCTAGTACCACACAGTTCTGTAAGCACACAGATTTTTATTGAGGGAAAGAGCCTCTGACAGCACTTTGTGCCTCCCTCTAGCATAGCACCTAACCCTTCTTACTGTCATTACTTATTTACATGTCTGTCTCCCCCCTAGAGTGTGAGCTCCTCGAGGGCAGGAACCCTGTTTTTATTCATCTTTGTGTGCTGGTGCCAAGCACAGTGCCTGGCTCATGGTAGGTGCTCACTAAATGTTTGTTGAATGAATATAGCAGTGCTTCTTGGGTTGATCAGCTAATTTCTTTTTGTTTCTTTTGTTGGGGTTTTTTTGTTGGTTTGTTTTTGCCCAGTGTTGTTAATGCTTTTGGTAAACAGAAGGAAAGGAAGAGCCTTCTCTCAATATTATGCGTTTAACCTTGGCTTTCATAGGAATCACCCTTCAGTCATAGTGCAGCCTGGGAAGAGACCTTTACCTGTGGAATCCCCAGATACCCAAAGGAAGCGAAGGATACACAGATGTGATTACGACGGATGCAACAAAGTGTACACTAAGAGCTCCCACTTGAAAGCACACAGAAGAACACACACAGGTATTAGAACCACCAGACATACTTCATCTTTCTTCTTAAGAAGCGTTAGAATGGAATGTTAAAGACAAGCGTTCTGGCTTTCAAAGGTTATTTATAGTGAAAGTTTTTCGGGCATCTCAAAAGTTGCCATAGTTATCTGCAGATGTCTCTGTAGGTTGTGAAGAATGAAGTTTTTGATAATGATTTATCTCGGTAATAAGAATAGATTCAAAGTAATCCGTATCATGAAGTCCCTTACAATCACTTGCAGTTCTGCAGTCTCTAGGAAGGGAGGCAGAAAGGGACGGGACCTCCACTGCTGGAACCAAGGGGAAAATGCTTTCACTGTCAAGGATGCGACCTTCATAAGGGCTGTCGTTTAACATATGGACATTATCAAATTCACGATAGCAGGACAAATAAATGCAGCAGTTTAGTAGAAATGGAATTCAAATAGAAGACTCCTTGAAGGAAAGAAAAGCAAAGAAATATGGGTAAAATTTCTATCTTCTGAAATTGAGAGGACGCCTGTGGCATTGCCTACCATACTTATTCTTGGGTATCTTCCATCTTGCCCAGTTTTGAATATAAAGAGTGAACAGTGGGGTCATATAAACATTGCTCGGTAGTTGAAGAAAATGTGAAATTGTTCCCAGGGCTGAATGTCTTAGTAGCAAAACATCTTAAGGAAATTATACAAAAATGTTTTAACAGCCTGATTGATTGCAGTTGGTGATTAATGTTTACAGGCAGGTGCATCTCACCTCCAAATCTTAGATGTGAAATTCTAGTTTAACAGCAGTTTCCCTGTATACATTTTCCTTAACTCAGAATGTAGACTGTTTTTCTGAGTCTTGTGAGTCATTCTTATTTGGAATGTTTACAGGGAGAGAAAACTGGGGTATTATGGAAGAGAAAAGGGAGGGGAAGTGTCTGGCGGTGTGGAAGTGAAATTTTTCAGAGAATGCTTGGGGAAACCAGCCTACATACAAGTGTCATTTTGCTTTGGCATAAAGTTACCACACAAGAGCTGAGGGTGATAGCCTTGTGTTTACAGCATCACCCAAGCAGCAATGCCAGATAGATCGGTAAAAGCAGCCCTGGGCATTAATTAATTAACAATTAAGACGCTAGAAGTGGATGTTACCAGTTTCCAGACTAAAATTAAAAAGACTTTGAATATTTGGATGACAATTTGGATGTAGGAAAAATGCCTCTTTGTGGGCATATTCTGCACAGCAAAGCAGATATTACGAATTCTGAATAATCTCATTGAAATGCTAAGGAATGGCAGTCCTGCAAGGTTTCTAGAGAACAAGGGGTGGTAAATGGGAACTTGTGATACTCATAACCCATTATTACTAATTTAATCATGTGATATTGCCCTTAACAGCCTTTTTATCTGTAACGGCTTTATACTAGCTCTCCCTATCCTTTTCGCACAGGGGTCTTCTGTTCCTCACCCGTAAATTATCATTAACCTACAGGAGAGGGTTGCAAAAACCTGGCTCCTGACAGGTGAGGAGGGAATATGTTTTCAGTACTTCTGGATTAAGGCATTATATTGAGGCATGATTGTTATTGATTCATCAAGAAAATAGGATGTTGAAATCCCTAACTGATATTTTAGTTGATAGAGACTGCGTATTTTTAGAAAACAATTGAAAAGTGTAAGAAAATACTGCCGGCTTTCAATTTGGACTTCTCATTAAATGAATAGCACTGCATATACGATGGTGGTCCCGTAAGATTTTAATGCCATATTTTTATTGTGCCTTTTCTATCTTTAGATATATTTAGATATGCAGATACTTACCATTGTCTTACAGTTGCCTCCAGCACTCGGTACAGTAACATGCTGTACAGGTTTGTAGCCCAGGAGCCATGGGCTATACCATTTAGTCTAGGTGTGTCATAGGCTGTACCGTCTAGGTTTGTGTAAGTCCACTCTATGATGTTCGCACACCAGCGAAGTCGCCTCATTTCTCAGAATGTCATTAAGTACATGACTGTGATCAAGCTCCCATATAGGTTTAGGACTTGGAGATATGTAAGTACAGATCACCATGTGTTTATTAAGTCATTATTTGGTGGTCCCTTGGGATAGATTTCAGTGCCTTTATGATTTAAGAGCTCTTAAAATCCTTCCCCCTTTTTTGGCAGAGAGCCAGTTAAATGTTAAGAGAATTTTTTTCTTGCTTGTCCTGTATTGGTTTATAAGGCACTGTTATTAAGTCAAATGTATGAACATATCTTGGAAATAATATTTGTCAAGAGCATTAGCTCAAATATCTTTACTGTCTTTACAGACAAATTAAGATCTTTGCTTTTTTTCTTTTTGCAGGAGAAAAACCCTACAAATGTACATGGGAAGGATGCACATGGAAGTTTGCTCGGTCTGATGAACTAACAAGACATTTTCGAAAACATACTGGAATCAAACCTTTCCAGTGTCCAGACTGTGACCGCAGCTTCTCCCGCTCTGATCATCTTGCCCTACATAGGAAACGCCACATGCTAGTGTGAATTGCCTCCAGATCCCGCCTCAACGCGACTCCCCACTCACCTGGCTCTCTCTCTGTCCTCCCTCCCATTATCTAACTCATTTTTTACATGTACATTTTAATTTTGATTCAGCTGGTCTGAATCTCTGAATTTATATCATTCAAAACCTCCATATGGTCAGTAGTAGATATTCTCTAATCTTCCCTCTCCTTACCACGGGTCAGACCTAAAGAATGTGAACACTTTTTTTTCTGGGGATGCTAAGCAAACCCTTCTTACAGATAACGTTTAATGTAATAAGAACAAGGGAACATGTAAACTATACCATAACCAATTGTCGGTTTCTCCGTGTATTCCTCAAAAGAATGTCAAAGTAAATGTATTAGAAATACAGTATCCAGCCTGCTAGTCCTTGCCAGTGACCTTCATACCTCTGTACCCTGTGATCACAGCTGATGCTCAACAGCCAAAAGAAGGGTGGTCCCTTTCACCAGTATCTAGAAGATTTCATGCTAGTGCAGTCAACTCTTCCATTGTCCTTCACAAATCTGGCTTGTCAACCTGGATTTATCACTTCATCTAAATCAAGTCCTTTGCCCTCTTTTGTGCCTGCAGCTCCTATGGAGGTTTTTGCCACCACTGGGAGATGAGCCAGAGCTGCTGATTTAGGTGGGTGATGTGTAGCAGTTCAAGGGATGGAAGCTGTGCTTCCCTAGCATGGAGTAGGAGCAGAGGGGCAGAGCAGGAAGGAGCCAGCGATCCCTCCTGAGCTAGAGGTTATCAGTGACGTTTCAACATCCGGTTAGCTGTGCAGGCATTCCTGGAGCTCAGCTTTCTGTGCTTTCTCAGCTGCACAGAACCATGCTGCAAAGCCAAATACCCATGGAGCTGTCCATGCAACTATCTCCGTTCTTACAGTGTCCTTAGTATGGATCATCAAGCACTGATGGTAAGGACTCCACAAAAATATTTGCCCAGCAATGCTAAAAAAACCTTTGGGTAACAGTATGGATGGATTTTCTTTTACCCAACCTGATTATAGCTTTTTTGCAAACAGGGAAATGTTGAGTGGTACTTGTATTCCCATATCAAAGTAATCACATAGCTTTTATGCAGAGACTCTTCTGTGTGAGCTGTAAGGTGCCAAGTTGGCTGTCATTTGTGTTCATGATGTATCATAAATAAGCATCTGCTAATGCTTTAGTAGATTCATTCAATTAAGACCTGAGTGACACTATTTGTAAATATAACTAGTTGTGAAGCACACATATCTTTATTTTGGGGACAGATTTCTAGAAAATACAGAAAACCACAGTTCAGGGATTCATATCTCTAGCTTGAAAATTCCTAAAAGTTTACTGTTGGAGCTGGCAATTTCTATCACTCGTGTCCTCTCAGAAGAACAAACTGAAAATAGTGACTCGTGTTTATGTTGAAGGTAAATAGCATCATTACTGGGGGAAGTTTTTCAAAAGCAGGCTTTTGAGCACCATAGTCTAAATGTTAATAAAAATAATTCATACATAGAAATGCCATTGGTCCTAAATTTGGAGAAAGTGGGCAATGGTGGTCAAGTGTGGGTGCACGTTACCAAAGGCCACTTCATCCCTCCATAAAGGATGGAGGAAGAGAAGAGAGGAGGGTGGAATCCTGGAGATTCATCCCAGCCACAGCTCAGGATCCAATACAACCTTAACCGGGAGGAGTACGTTGTTTAATCATCCTTAAAACATCAGCGAATGCGTGATTCTGGAGGCCTGTGAATTGTGTGGGGAGCTTACTTTGATGGCGCTATGTTAATAAGTTTGTTGTAGGGACTGGGCACTCGGAGGTCCCACTCATCTGCCCTGTGAACCAACCGAAGGGAAATGTAGTTGAGAAAAGCAAAGAAATTTGTATCTTGGCACTTGGGTTTCATTTTCTTTGTTTTGGGGTTTTTTTTTTTAAGCACAGCAAAGTTTGTTTAGAATATTAAAACATTCTAATTGGGCTTTTTTTTTTTTTTTTTCTTTTTTGCAACTAAGACATGAAATGGATAAAAATGGCTCTTGGAAAAGTAGGTATCGTCTGTATTGTAAATGCTTAGTCACATTCATGCCAGCGTGTTCATTTCTTGAAATGGTTCTTCCACAACACACTGAAGAATGGAGTTGGAATGCGTTTTGATGGAGATAACCAGTTTATGTATGTTCCAACCCGAATAGAAAGGGGGGAAAAGGGCAAGAAAGGATAGACTTGATCTTCTTTGAATCAGCTTTGAGTCTGAGTCCAGTTAATAGAAAGCTTCATGGGTTCTCATGAAATTTGATGCGTTTGCTATGGCATATTTAAATTTCATTCAAAAGAGCAAGCAAGATCGCACAAAGACTCTATTATGTTACAGTTTGGCTTGCTTAGATTATGTTAACAGTCCATTAACAAAGATCCATTTTAACTCTGAGAGAAGCAACCCAGAGAAGCCAGTCTCTATTCCTATGCTGGTCAATATGCTTTAGTTACCAATTGGCCCTTACTAAATTTTCCTCATATATATATTTGTATTTTACTATGATAGTTGAGGAATTTAGTGTCTTAGTCATTTTTAGCTGTTATTGTGGAAGACCTCAAATATGAGATAAGATGCCCTTTGACATGTGGTTTTAATGATGTGCCATGTTACTATCAATGGTGATTTTATTGCAATATTTTTAATTGATGAGAATGATTTGTAAACATGAAGTTGGTGTCATGTAAATTGTTTGTTATAGAGTTTCTTCAATTATTAACCCAAACGTCATCTTGAAAGAGAAATCAGAAAAATTAAATCAGAATCCACCATATTTTAGAGTTTTGAAATGTGAATCTACATCATAAATGGGCATTAACATTCTAAATCACTTGGTTTGGAGAATATGTTAGCAGCATAGCTATGTTCAACTAAGGAGATGCTAAATACGCAGAAGTTTCAAGAGCCTCAGAACAGAATTACAGGGGAACTATATATGTATATGTATATTTTATCAAACACCATCTGCACTATCAGTATTGCACTAATGTGGAGTTTGAAAGACTATATTGCTGATACTGTATATCTGCACATCATTCCTGATTAGATTGTTTTAAAGACAATCTCGAACAGCTGAGGTTTTAAAATAATTTGTTTTGAAAATATTCAGTCGTCTTGAAGGAATTGCCGTCATACGTGAGGTTGCTCAGAGTTGTCTTTATTCTCTTCTTGGTCAAGGTTAACAATTTCTAAATGATTGCGAATTCACTTAAATAATACATTTACAAAGCCATTTTACATGCATTAAACGAGGGCTACAACAATATTTTACAAATACTAGCACTTTTTTTCTGTTATGTATTTAGTGTTTAGAGGGTCAAAATAATCTTTCTGCTTAGCATCTCTTAAACCATACCTGCAAATATAGCAGGATTATTACATTTACAGTACTTTAATACTTGTATAAACTATGCAGAAATTTTTAATAAAGTGTAATATATTTTATAAGCTAATAAGACTGAATGGGTAAAGGTTTTTAGCATGCATTAGTATACTTGCAAATACTGAAACATTTTGGTAATCTTTCTTACTAAAGATGTGAATGTTTAATGTACCTTCTCTGTTTCTACTCTGTAGTCCAATGGGAATTCAGTAATGACATTTTGTCATGTCAAACTGTGAACATAAATTTGTACTGTACAGTCCTCATATACTATATACAGTATGCAATATATGTATTATATACTTGTTAATAAAACCATCAGAATATTGAGTGTGATCATGTGATTACTATGTGTGCAGTGATCGTTAGGAACAAAACTCAAAGAGCAATGTAAGAACCCCTGCTTAGAAATTTCATGGGCAATCATTGTTGATGGAAGGAGAGAAAAATAGATCTAACTGGAAGATGCACTAAAGCAGTTAACTCAATCCTAAAGCTATGTCCCTCGTTTTCTGGTAACAGCTAATAGGAAGTCTTCTAAGCTCAAACCATAAAGCTGCAGAAAACCCAGTGCAAACCTACAAACTCACCTAGTACATTCTTGAAATATTTTTTGTTGTTTATGACCCCTATCTGCTTCGAAAAATAATTTTCATTGTTTTGTATTAAAAAACATGAATAATACTTTAAATGTTTGACTAGGTTAAAATATCAGGAGTTATAGGTTGGAGAGTGGAGAGTCGGGAATGGGATAGTAAATTGCAAGCCTTTAGTAGCCATGTCCGCAGACACTGCAGCCTGCAGCATCACAGGAATGACGAGTCATTTTCTGATAGGGATTTGGAGTTCTTTTGTTTAAGGCAAAATGTAATAACTTCCCCCCTTCCCCCACACTCCCCCTAAAATAACTGCAATTAGGACAATGGCTTGTTAAATCTCAGCAGGTTCCTCCAACCTGGATTCATCTTAGCAAAACATGAAATAATGTCTGGCCAGCACTTACCACACGACTCACCTTCACAGCCTGGAGAGTGGAAGGCAGTTGGGAAAAGGCTGAATTCAGCCTTGGGAGAACTTGCCATCAGCCTTTTCCAGGGAACTTCTCCGCTTTTATACCAAGGTTGCCGACTGCAAGCTATATGTGATTGCATGTGATGTTAAGTCCTAATGGAATGTTGGCTTGGATTAGTCCAGATGACTGCCTGTGATCCTCACTATATTTCTCATGGATGACATGACACTTGCTGAGTTCAAAATAAGACCCATCCTTCTAGAAGGAGTTATGTTACAAGCTGGATTCTGCCCAGGTGAATGATGAGGGAGGTGTCAAATGTAGATTTCATGAGAAACAATTCCCTGAGGGATGGTTGAGATAAGGATGTTTGGCCCCCCCAAAAGACAATACATAATCATTGTCCAATATTTTAAGTGCTGTCAGGTAGAAGAAAGTGGGATTAGGAGGAGTCTCAGTGTGGGCAAGTTTTCAATTCTAATGTGAATTCAAGGAAAGAAATGCCTCTGCTCAGGGAAGGAAGGTGTTAGAAGATAAACTTAGACACATTAAAATTTTAAAGAGTTTATTTGAGCAAATGGCAATTCGTGGATCGGGCGGCACCAGACTGCAAGCAGTTGGGCTCCACTGAGGGAGTGTGAGGGGAAGACTTTCATAAGGTGTTCTTGGAAGCAAAACAATGAAAATATTGGATTGGTTAAAGTGGAAAGTCCATAGTTAGAGATTAGCTGGCGGCTTCTGATTGACCAAGCTTAAGTTTCGTTTTCCTAGGCTCTGACCGTTGTCTCTGACTTGGGTTTTGGTTTGCTCACACAGGAACCCAAGGGGCAGGAGCTGTCTCAGCATAATGGCCTCCTAATTAATTTTTTTAACAATGTGTTGAGATAGTGGCAAATATATATACATGTAGACGTTTAAGTTAAACTAGTAGAGACCAGAGTGACAAATGTGTATGCACGAAACTCAGCAGTGAATTGCTGTTCTGGGGTACACTCACTTTAACATGCATAAACCAAACCTGTTTCCATTTCCTATTATCTGAGCACGTCACAGTCACAGTAGTTGGTAATGGGGCTGTATGTAGAGAGAGTGACTCCCAAATTATAATGACACATGCTATAAGTTAGAATTATTATTAAATAATGACCTTTTGGCACTTTGTGGGGCCTGGGGTAGAGGAGGTCAGTTCTCACCGAATCTAGATGGTTTCTTCCAGAGCTTCTGCTCATACATCCTGGGTTTGCATTCCCTACAGGACACTGAGTGCTCAGACTTCAGAAGACAGAAGCTGGATTTTCAGGCTCCTAGGTCATGTCCCTTTCGTATTGTACACATTGAATGCGCTCATGTTTCTTCCTTTACTCAAGACTCAGGAACGCCATCAGCCCAAGGATTTGGCCACTAAAGAATCCTGGGAGAGGAGTCCCGTTATGGCCACTGCTGCCCTGGAGAGGGTGAGGGGGCCGTGCAAGCGAAGCTGCTGCTCAGGCCAGGCACCCAGGCCCCTGGGTGGCTGGTGCAGTCGCTGGCCCTGGCGCTCCTGCCTGCGTCCACTGCCGTGTCCAGTGCTGCACTACAGACTGATTCACCAAGCCGAACTGTACTCAGCTCAGATGTTGCGACTCCAGATAGGAACGCTGCAACACAGGAAAACCAAACCTTCTATTTCCAAATCAGTAGCACTCTCCCTCCCATAGCTACAGAGAAAAGTGGAGCATCTGCAGCCCCTAAAACCTCACCTACCACTTCCCTGTCCCAAGAGCTGACAACAATGACGGTCCCAGCATAGAGGAGGAGGATCTCACACTGAATAGTTCTCCATCTACAGCCAGAGACACTCTGGACAATGGAGATTATGGAGAACCAGACTGTGACTGGACCACAAACCCTAGGGACGACGAGTCTGATGAGACCTTGGAAGAAAACAGGGGTTACATAGAAACTGAACAGTCAATGAAATCTTTTAAGAGCCCATCGTTAAACATAGAAGAGGAAAACAGCCATTTCTTTTTCATCTTATTAGTTTTGCTTTATATAACACTGTTATTTACATAACACAACAAAAAGGAAGATTTTCCTCCTGGTTCAAAGCAGGAAATGGCATGATGGCCTTTATTCTAAGACAGTGGATTATCATCATCTAGACCAGAATGTAAATGAGGCAATGCCTTCTTTGAAGATTACCAATGATTATATTTTTTGAAGTACTGAGATTAGAGTTTGCTTATTATGTAACTTTATTTGCTTGACTTTGGAAATTAAGCAAATAATTTCCAAATTATTTTTTTTTTACTTTGGAAATTTCAAGGCAATTTGGTGCTTTGTAAATTAAGTGTCACAAACAAGGAGTATATAATTTTTTATCTATATTTTTAGAGCTGAATTCAGTCAGGTGTCCAAAATGTGAGTTAAGCATTACCTTATATTTATGCTGTTTTTATTGTTTTAGATTTATTATATTCCTTCTGGAAGTATTAATGATGCTATGTTTAAAATATCCCAAACTTGTATCTAAATTCTAACATATCTGGTACTGCTGACTTAGATTCACTCTCTGCCATCCAAATACTATTTTTTAGGCATATATTTCATATGGTCCTAATAATGTATAAGGATATATGTGATAATGCTTTGCATTTAAGTAACATTTTTTTCTTCCATGAAAACTGCTTTGGATATTTTTAGATCATTTAAACATAATTTAAGGTAATGATATTGCTCAATCTGACTATAATTTTAGGTAACACATTAACTGTGTCTAAAAATTCCGGCAATAGAGACTCTACAGTTTGCAGTGGACCATAGATAAAATGTTACAGAGGTAGCATATTTTTGGTTTGAATTACTGAATTAAAGGTAGAAACTGGTAAAATATTAAATACATGTACAATTGCTTTTAGTTAGCGATTGATTGTAGCATGGGTCCTCCAAGGTTTCAAGCCATGGGCAGAGTTTTAAATTATATCAGATTTGTTCACTTTGTTTATTATCTTATAGTAAGTTTGAATGAATCTTACGGGCCATATCATGTAAGTAATATTGTACCTAGGTCTTTCAAATTAAAATTATACCTGAATGAAGTTGTTTGAATACATAAAGGACATATGTGACTTTCCCCCTTACTTGTTTTATTTTCTTTGTTTTTGTTATAGCAACTGGAAATTATTCGTATTTCATTTTAGACTGTCTTTCTATCATAAAGATTTGATCAGTATGTAAATATGTAATTTGAACCATGGTTGACTGTCAAGTGTCACTACAACTTTTTAGAAAACATAACCCCCAAAATACATTAACCAAGGCCCGGGTGAGCCAGTGGGCATGTGCTCTATGTAGAGACAGGAGAAGCAGTGCCGCCTATCCTTTCTCTTGGTGGACAATGTACTGTCCTAATAAGGAAGGGAAACACAATGGAAATACACAGGAACTGTTTTATTGCAGTAATTTTTTTCATATCTGAAATTGTATTATTTAATATTTTGAATAAGATTTTAAAAAATAAATGGCAAAGCTATAAATCCAAAACAAAGAAAGAAAGAAATTCTGGGAGAGAAGGATCTTGAGGACTTTCCAGCCTTGCCAGTCTGCTCCAGATCATATCTCATCTCTGGCTGCAAAGTCCAACAGGTTGCCTGTCAATCACATGCCTCCAAGTCTGTGCTCATGGAACCCGTCAACTAAACTAAAATCCCACCCACACATTCAAACCAGCTTCTCCCACATCATCTTCAGTGCCTACTTCTCACGCAACACACTTGACCCTCCCCTTCCTGAGATCACTACTGTCCAAGACTCTTCCCCACCAGAATGAGAACCCCGTGGCTGGGCTGGGACTTGTTCACATTTGTGTCCTCAGCACCACTGCAGAGAAGGCATCCTTAGACAGTGTATGAAAGAATAGGTCAATGTGAGTTCTACTCTAGCTCTGGCACTAATCTCTCACCCTGTCACATCCAACTGGCCACCTCTGGAAGCTCTCCTGAGTCTGTCCTCTCTAGTCTATGGCCATTGCCCTGCCCAGCTCAGGCCTCTTTGTTTCTTGCTGGGACTAGGACAGAAGTGCCCTCACTCTGTCACTCCTGTCCTCCTCCCCCACCAGCCTAGGCCAAGATCTGACCATGTTACTGCCCCTCTGTTTACAATCCTTCCACAGCCCTCACTGCACCTGAACCTGGTTCTTAATTCAACCCTGCCTCCTTTAAAGCCTCATTTATTATAATCATTGACTTTTTTGTTTTTCTCTTTCTTTTTTTCCCAAGAAACTTCAAACATTTTCCAGGCTCAGAGACTGATGGGTGCACAAGGCATTCAGCGAGAT